AACAATTATTTCATTTATTTTATTTTGGGCGTTTCACAGTTGTTAACAAATGCAAAAATGTGTTTTAGCACCAATTGCAAGCACAAAGTTATGTATGTTGAAGAATAGCATGCATTAAACAGGAATTTGTAAATCTTCTTGTTCTCACTTTGACTTTTCCTGCCAGGGCGTCATGAATTGTCCCAGGAGATATCCTGTTGCTGGCTGTCTATCTAGTCTACCCCAGGCCAGCGGCCGCAGTAGAGGTAATGTGGAGTGCTAAGTAATGGGTTTATGTTGGGAAGAGGGACGGGTGGGATATGTGTAAAATGATTTTGGTGAAAGTATACAGTTGTACATTGTCCGGCCAGAGGACTGAACAGTTTGGTTGAAGCTCACGCTCTACCTGAATACTTCAGAAAAAATGTGCTGCTATTAATGCAGGAAGCTCGAATCTTTTCAGCTTCACAAAAGCCACAAAGTTATTGATTTTTCAGTATTTTCAAGTGTTACTCTTCATTTTGCCTTTGCTATAAAAGGAGCTGAAGTGGTGAAGTAAAAATAACTAAGTCAGGGAGCATCTAATTGGTCTACCTGCAGACATACACCCTGAATTGGGTTGATGACAAGTTTGCATGTAGGCTGTGTTTAATGGGCAGTCTTGCAACTTTAGATGACCACAAAAAGCTTGCATGTCTGATATATATATATGTACACATTAAAAAAAGTTAGATTTTCAAGAAAGTTGCTGGACTTTTCTGGGAGAAACAGCAAAAGAGAAGGGTGCCAGAAGATGGTGTTAAAATAAGGGAGTCCTGGCATTTGTGCCTATAGAAGAATCAGGAGGTCTAATATAACAAGTGTCATGATTACACTTAGTAATAGAGGCTGTGCCTTAACACTATGACAACTAAATGTAAAGCAAATTAAATTTACTTATATCCTTATATTAAGCAAGAAAGCCTGGCCATGCTTTGTCTCTATGCTGAACTCTCATCTTTGCAGGACGATCACACAGCGGCCAGGCAGAGCAGCTGAAGCCTGACGCGTTGCTGCGACTGACCCTTGGCGGACTCACTCTAACCCTTCTGCAGGAGGATCCACAACCCTCCAGTGCTGACGGAGCCTCGTCATTGGCTCAGGTGTCTAAGGTGTTTTTCAAGGAGCTGACCGCCTTCAAGGACAGCATGTTCAGTGAAAGAGACTTCCATCAACTGAGAGGCGGATTCGCCAAAGCCTGCCCACACTCAAATCTCAGGTTAAAAAATGCACACATCGTTTTTATTGTGGTTTTGTATGGAAGGAGATAGAAAAATACACTTTCATAATCAGGTGCTTGTGATTGATCATTAGATGGTAGTTATATATTTCTTAAGTACTACAAACATTAATGAAGTTAGTCTGTAGGTATTGAGGAGGATGCAGATGTTTTGGGAGGGTTTTTTCTCCTTCTTTCCGACTTTTTGTTGGTCCTGCTTCCGTCCTCTCTCTCAAATTGCATTCACACACAGTTGGTCAAGTTTTCCCACTGAGACCAAGAGTTTGTTTCTCTTTATCGTTCTCACTGCAGATTAACAGGAGCAGCGGTGCAGGTCGCCTGTGAGATGCGGAGTGGGAGACGCCAAAACAGGGCTGTGACCTCTGACCTTTCCTTCAGCAGACTGGAGATGTTAGAGTGCCTCTGGGAGGACGGAAAGCCGGAGTACTGTGAGGTAGATCATCTCTCTGTCAGTCTGTCGAGCTTTTAAACAAAAACAGGCAGTGTTCACACTTGTGTCCGTGCTAAGAATTTAATTTTGTGAAGCATTCACATTAAAGTCAGTGTTTGCACAGTCCAGAGTAAGTTATTTCATAAGAGCATCCAAATACTTAACAAACATCAATATTTAAGGTTTTGAGAAATGGCTGTTCAGACTAAAGTTATTGTAAAATAAAGGAAAAGTGACTTAAATTAGAGTTGAAAATGTCAGATAAGAACTTCACATTTAAGATGACCTTTCCCTATTGTCTGGAAGTGGTACGTTTGTTGCTTCTTTACCACCCCAAGGGAAAAACTACAAATCCAGTCTTAACTCTCCTGTGGGTTTCTCTTTTCAGCTGCTTCAGTTCCAGAAAGCTGGTCTGTTCACAGTTGGAGCTGCAGCCAGACCGTGTGCCCAGTTACACTACAGCCTCACTGAAAAACGCCTGCGTAAGGTAAGCGTTTCTAAACACACGGCCCAGTCTTTTTAGCCATCGAGTAGTCCGCTGACTTAGCCTCTCAAATTGCAAATTATTCTGGGTTCACATTGGAGCCAGGATACCCTGATGGTGGTTATTCAGTTCAAGACTTCCTGTTCTGTTCACCCATCATCGTTCACAAAATATACATTTTAAAAGCAGTGTATCAGGTAAAGTAAAAGTTAAAAGTATATCTTCTGATAATAAAGTGCAATTCACCTTTTAATCACCAAACCACAGTGTGCTCAGAAATATTTTCAGAAATGGTTTAATGGTTCTGTAATGAGTTTTACTGTAAACAAATATAACTTATATTTATGGTTAGAGATTGGCACCAAAATGATTTCTATGTATTTTTCCCAATGCCAGCTGAGGTTAAAACAGTATAGGTTTGACTCAGAGTCATAGCCGAAATTAGTGTTTGCAATGGAGATCATACACGGGACAAGAAGCAGTTGCATGAAAATGTGAACTCCAGGAAGGACATTTTGATAGCTTAAAAAGAAAAGCATTAAGTATGTGTTTCTTACAGTTTTATTAAGAAAGATTTTCCCTCTTTTTTTTTTTTTCCATGTCATATTAAATAAAATTAGATATTTGTGACAAAACAAAACTTTACCCTTTAACTTTTTATGTCTTAAAATATTCAAAAGTTCAAGTAATTTTTTTAATATTTAATAGCTGTATCCTGAAAAATCTGTACTGTAACATTTCCAGTATTTATATATGCAGATTTTTGTGAAGCTCTTCAGAAGGATTGACTGCTAAAAGCCTTACAGTTTACTTTAGCTATTCAAACATAAACATGCGTAATCAACCAAACATTATGTCAAAAACTGATGTGAGAATAGCAACAATTTCTTTTTTCTTTAACCTGTTGTGTGTTCATGTGTTTCTGCAGGGCAAGCAGCAGGTGTTGCGGCGGAGCAGCGTTGTGCGAGTGGAGCTGGCTGAGCTTAGTGCCGAACTGGATTTGGACATCCTCAGCCGCCTGGAGAGCCTCAGCAAAGCCTTCAGCTACTGTCCCAATCAGATGCATGGACCAGGACTCGTACAGGTCAGTGGAATAGATTTATTCTGTGAAAAAAATAAATGAGGTCACCCAGAGAGTACGAACTGTGTATCGTGTCTTAGGTCCAGACCATACAGAGAGACCTGCTGTTAAAAAAATCCTTCATGGTTACTGGATCTGAGGGGATACTTAATCTTGACATCATTAAAGGCTATAGAGTTTATAATTATAGTAATATGTTGGTAATACAAGCCACTGAGGCTCAGCCTCCAAAAGACTGTGAGCAGAAAAGCATTCAGATAAAACATAACATTAGCAGCTTTGTGCAGAGTCATAACTTTTTACTTTCTGAAGCTCTATGGTTGAAATGCTTCCTAAAATCCATGTTCACGTTTTTCCTCCTACTGTCCTCTTAGACTCACAGCACCGAGCTCAGCTCCTCCTTCACCCTCCTGTCGCCTCACGCCGTCCTCAGACTTCGTTTCCCCATACCTGATCTGCAGCCCCTCCCAAAGCGTCGGCCTCCAACCCAGAGGGCGGTGCGGCAGGAAACCTTGGTGTTGGAGATGACAGAGTTTGAGCTGAAGCACCAGGAGGCCCCAGACCTGCAAAGTGAGCAGACTACACCGGGACAGCCGTGGGCCCCCTGCCTCACCCAGCTGCTGGAGGCCTCCTTCACCGACCTGCACGGTGGGAACACACACAAGTAGTTGTTGCTTCTCAGTGAAGATTCATGAGAGGAGGAACCAAAGCTAGATGACTAGATTACTGACCACTGTTTAGCAAAGACAGTCCGATGTACTTTTAGTGTTAAATTTAGTTATTAGGGACTTCTGGAAACAATAAACTGTAACTTTAATTTTAAATTAGCGCTATATAAAAAAAAAAAAGAGAGACCCGTGTCTTTCTGTACATAAAGTTATGTTATATACAAGTGTCTTTTATAATGAATGCAGACATTTTCATATCTGGCGTTTTATATTGATGTACCCATCCAAGTTGTGTTTTTACCGGCTTGGTTTCTAAGATTATAGTTTAGTTAATAATTCCTTTAGTCTGATATTTAGAACTCAGTTTAATTTCCCAATGTCTTGTGTCTCACCAGGGTCATATGAGGGCTGGGAGGGAGGCTCTTTCCCTTGTATCAGAGTGAGGAAGAACCGGGACACTCTGCCCAGGTTAGTCCTTCTGATCATCAGTGGATCAGTGATTCATAAAAGGAGTCACAGACTCCATCTTATGATGCTCATGAAGACCATCAGAAGAACACAATAAATGTGTTTTCAGCTATGGGAAGATTATAAAATATAATAAAAATGTCAAGATCTTTAATAAACTGAATTAGCATTTCCTCCTTTTGAGGCTGTGACCAAATTGTCTTCTCTTCAAATATTCACCAGCCCTTTTTTTCAGATACAGAAGCCAAAAGACAATATGTGTAATTCACGAAATTTGAGAATCTGAACTACATGTTTTAATTTTAACTTCACTGTTCAGGAGTCTGGTTCTTTCAGTACCATGAGGAGTAGCAACACTCGTGAGACAACTGAAGGCAAAGCTGATTTTCTTCATTATTCTTTCTCATCACTCATAGTCAGCTTTCCTCACGTCTTTGTGAACAGGATATCAGTGCGTGTGCGTGGAGGTGAGGCTCAGGGCCCAGCAGCTGGTCTGAGTGGCATGAACCCGGGCCTCATCAGGGACCTTGGTGCCGCCTTCTTTGAAAGTCACTGTGAATTCAACGACAAAACGAGCTCTCCTTTTTCCTCCAACCGCACCATGTTCGAGACTGAGGAGGTGTGCTGGCACACACAAAAACATGACACATCCCAGTTTATAAACCATCTCAGCCATCCATGTTCCTCCTCGCCTCACCTCTCCTCCCTGTGTGTTTCAGATGGTGATTCCAGCCGACCCAGAGGAGATGCGTCAGTTTCAGGAGCAGTGTGTCGCTCAGTGTCAGTGTGCTGTGGACATCAGCATGCCACTAGCTTATATCCTGCTCCCCAGCAAACAGGCCTTCCAGAGCATCTATAACAGGTATGTAAAAAGTATCACAAGACCACTGCTTGCCCTCCCAGTTTAGAATAATCCAGGTGTCCTTAAAAAATATGGACTCTACTTTTTTTAAACTCTTAAGTTTAATATTCAAAATACAAACGACTCTTATAAAGTCTTACAGATGCACTCTACCTGTCTTGACACACGAAAGATTCTGCTGGCTTTAGGTGTTAATAGTGTCCAGTGCTGGAAACATTTAAAAGTAACTTAATACATAACATATTACTGCTGATAAAAAATTATGTTGCATCATTACTTATAGATGAACGTAACTCATTAAAGTTTTGCATCACCAGAGATAAACTTGCTCCTACAGTTTGCTCGTGAGCGCTGGTTATATGTGCAGAGGGAGTCCAGCCCGAGTGTACCGACTTTAGCTGATTGTGTAGCGAGTTCATACTGGTAGTATTTCTTCCACCACATAACCCAGAACGAGCTCATTCATTTCCCTCTGAGCGTCTCGGAGCTGTACTGTTAACGCAATTCTCCGTCTTTGAGGTGCTCGTGTCAAACGGACTTTGCTCGTTATATTAATACCTCTTCCAGCTTTGTTCCTATTTTCATCCTTATTTTGGTCTTAAATCCTGCCTCAGAACTAAAAGTAATTTCCCCTCACCCGTCCCTCTGTCCACAAGGATCAATAATGATCTGTTGATGTGGGAGCCTCCCCCGCCTCCTCCCCCCTCAGCCCACAGCCCCGACCACAGTCGCCATCACCAGGACGAGTTCCAGCTCTGCAAGTCGGCCTTTAGACTGGGTAAGTTTGGCTCATTTGATGGAAAACTTGAACATATTGTAGATTTATTAGACATAATAACCTCTCAGGTCATCTTATATTAAGTATTTTATTATGTTTGGAGAATTTTTCCTTCACTGATGACTAAAATTAAACAGACAAAATGTTTTTTCCTTCGTCTTCTCTCGTGCTCTCCCTCTGCTGTAGACTCTGACTCAGAAGAGGACGAGTGTCAGTACTACTTGGCCAGTGAATCATCTGGAAAGTCGCATCCGATGGCTCCTCGTCCCAACCACAATCTGAGCCTTCTCTCCCTCACTGTGATTATCGGGAAGGGTCGCCTCCAAGCCAGGACAGACAAGAAGGTGGCCAGAAGACAGTGAATTTTGTGGATTTTAACTGCATCAGATACTAATTATTAAAACCTTCCAAGATTGTTTCTCTTAAACTACAATGTGTTGGAACTTCTTATTTTTAGCCTTTCAAATCAGTAGTTGTAATCAGATATCCAACCACATGTTAATGAATGTATTTATCGAAATCTATTCATAGTTACTATCATCATGAAGATGCGTAAAATGCTTTTCCATTGTTAACTGTGTATCCGTCATGTATTGTTCTGCTGACACTGATGTTATTGATTCAGGAGGACCAGAGTCACGGAGAGCTCGTGCTTGATCTGGAAGGGGGGAAGATATTCAGTGTAGCGCAGCACCAAAATGACCCCAATCTCAGTTTCCTGTGTCTGGAGAGCAGACGAGTGGAGCTCTACCATCGAGGTGCGCATTGTGTTATTTAAAGACATTTAGTTTCAGCATGGTGTGTGTTATGCACTAAGTATGCAGTTAACTTTTTCATATGCCACACAAACACAGCTGTCTTGAAGGACACCCCCATCCCGCAGCGGTTGGAAATGCCCAGCTTCATGCCCCCAAAGCACCTGGACCTCACCATCTACCCCACAGAGGTGGGAGTGAGCAGTGTGAGCGGCAGGGAGGGAGAGGTGCAGATGTTATCCACAGCCATCAAAATCACACTGGACCCTCAGAGAAATGTCAAGGCATGTCCTCATATACCTGATAGTGATGATGATGATTGTTATTGTTGTTGTTTTGGTTTTTTATTTCTTGTTCTCTTCACAGGAGTTCCTCGTTGCCCTTCGCCTTCAAGGTGCCACCATGCGACATTACATGACGCAGACTAACCACAGTTGGCACGAGCAGGTAAGAAGCTGAATGAATCGCGCTAAAGAGGCACAGCGGTGCAATGGTTTGTCTCCTAACAGCAAAAGGGTCCTCAGTCTGAATCCACCAGCTAGCTGATATGGAAGCCACTGAAAACAAAATAGCATTTTGCTGAATTTGAAATCTAGAGAGCTAGCTCACTGGTTAAGCAGGCGACCATATCCCATATCGATGCAGCAGCCTTTGCTGCGGCTCTTTGATATGTGTTGTTACCCCTCCCAGTCTCTTTCCTGTCTATCTTTTTCTGTCTAAATCAAACAAAAATGTTTAAAAAAAACTTCTGAGGAAGTCAGAATTTTGACTTGCGGATGGCAAAAAATATATATTTTTCTGTGGGGGGGAATCAAGCTTCTGTAGGCTTTTTGTGTGGCGTTTCCATGCTCTCTGCATGCCTTAATAAGTTCTCTCCAGGTCGTGCGGCTTCCTTTTGCAGTCCAAAGACATGCATGTGAGGCTAATTGGTGATTCTAAAATGGCAACAGGTGTGAAAATGAGCATGAATTTGTCTTCTTGTTCTCTGGGTTAGCCCTGCCATGGACTGGCGACCTGACCAGGGTCTACCTGCATCTCACCCCTTTGACAGCAGGACAGGCTCCAGCACTGCTGCAACCCTGAATCCTGAATTGGACATTTCGTTAAGAAAATGAATGGATGTTTTTGCTGTTCAATTTTGAAGTATTTGGATTAGAAATTTCAGCTGTCATAGAGAAAAAATGTCAGATTTGCTGTTTTGCAATTCAGGAAATATCTTTTTCTTCCTACACTGCTGGTTTTTGGCATTCTACATTCTACAAAAAGAAATCTGTACAGATTTCTTTTTTCTTTTTTTTGAACTGGTTAAAAAGGACTGAATAGAAACTAGACTAACACATTATTATTGTATTTATTTTTTTAGTGAGACATTTTTCCAAGTACTTGGAGTAAACACCTTCTCTCCTGCCCTCCCTTCTGGGACACTATCATAAAGAAATGACTGCTTTCAGTTCTAAAAACATTCCCTGCTCAGACTGCAAGTTTTTCTTTCTTGAGTAGAAATAATGCCAGCTAAATGTCAGTTTAGACTCCGCTATAGTCCCAGAGCTCCTTCCATCGTGAAAGAGTTTTATTCTTCTATCACTCTCCCTCTTTGCTTTTATTGGCTCTTACAACAACAGGACGCTTCTTTTGCTGTGTTGAGTTTCCACAGTTACTCTGGTTCTCCCAGCATCCAGCATTTCTCTAATCTGTGTGAAAATGGCTGAAAATAGCTACCAGGAAAACACAGGCTCTGTCTTACTCTAGTTTTGGAAGCACAATTAAGCCCTCATTTTCTTCATTTTCTGCACCATCAGTCTAAACACTGATGCTGTTATTATTTTATAGCCACTATCTTGTGCAGTTAACATATAATTCACGATTATACATTAAGAAAAAACGTTTAAATTGCTGTATCAGGGAGGTTGCAGGCGATTTAGAAAGTGCTGTAATCACTGATGTAGATGTGGTTTAGAGGAGATGTGTGGGGGAAAGAAAAAAAAACTTGGACTTCACAGATTGATTATACAGGTCAGATTAATTGCACTGCAAATGTTTCTGTGCAGGAAATGAATAAAAAATCCAGACAGCTGAAAACGGCTGCGAGTGTGCTGGCAGCTGCTATTAGTCTATTACCGGCTCTGCCAAAAACAACTTCTTGCTCCCAGAAATAATAAATAAGTATATGTTGTTACACCGTAGACAGAAAAAAATATGATTTAAGATGGAAAATTACATAACTATAATGAGCTTTATCCTGCAGAACGTGTAAATGTGGCAATTAAACCGGTAGTTAAACCATTTGGACTGAAGAGAAAAATAAAAAGCACACTCTACACAAAGAAGTCAAATAAAGTGGATAAAGTCTAAATTTACTTCATGACCTGCAAACTGTTCCAGCTGGTTGACTTCCTGGATGTCATCGACGATCCTATTCTGGGATACACCGCGCCGGCCGTCATCACTGTCCTCCACACGCACCTCGCTACCTGTGCTGTTGACTATAGGTATACACCCAAAAGAGAGGTTTTGTAAAATAATGTGGGCATGGATTTTGTTTTGTTTTTTTTCTCGTTTTACACCCTTGTTTCATGTCTTGTTTCTCAGACCCCTGTATCTGCCCCTGCGAGTGTTATTCACAGCGGAGTCCTTCTCTCTGTCCAGTAATATCATTGTTGACACTGCCACCTTCCACCTCAGGTACTCGACATAAAGATTGTCCATTAAAACGATAATCAAAAACGTCGCTGTCAGTTTTTGTCACAGTGTATGAATCGTTGGGAGACCTTTGTTCATTTTTGTTATGTTGCGGTCAGATTCATCCTGGATGATTCTGCTCTCTACCTCTCTGACAAATGTGAGACTGAAACAGTGGACTTGAGGAGAGGTAAGGTACTTCAGATGCCTTTTGGAGCTGTGTAAAAACAGGGGTTTGGTTTGGGTTTCCTTTTTGGATTTTATCTGTTAGAGTTATTCAGGACTGTGTGCTGAGGAACTCCAGTGAAGCTTAGATGAGAAGTAGCATTTTCTTTTCTTATCTTGCATGCAATAAACTAATCAGTGTCTTGCGATATCAGAAACTAACAGGGGACCGAATCATTGGCCATGCTGTTCAGAATGACAGATGACTGAACAGTGAAAATGGTTATCCCAAGTTTGGCGGTCTAGTATTTTTAACATGAGGCCTGTGAGACTGATATTAGAGCTGTTTAAGAGTAATTTACCACCCTCTGAATGGTTTTGGCCTTTAAAGTGGTGGATCACAAAAAAGTATGATGTTAAAGGGAAGTAGTACCCTCAGCCAATCAGAAGAAAGTAATCTTGAAGGGTGGAAAAGGGGGTTTAAATGGTTTGTTTCTTTATTGAAGCTCAGTTTAACATAAAGATTAAGATCTTGAACTGTTAATTGTGCTCCAGTAGAGTCCAAGAATAGAAAATAAAAATATGACTGGAACTGGGCCTAAAAGGTCATCTTTATGCTGAAAAGAACAGCTACATCCACTATAATATTGGGAAGCTGAATGGCAAATAGAAAGGTTACTTAATATGTACTTTTTCCAAAAACAGGCATTCTGAAAACTGGTTTGCCAGTTTAAGGGCCTGTCCCGCAGTTATTGTTAGTAAAATAAACAAAAAAATGTGTTGAAATGACTACAAAATAAGCAGTTTCCTAATAAAACCACCGCGTGTTTGTGTCACACAGACTACGTGTGTGTCCTGGACATTGACCTGCTGGAGCTCGCCATCACCACATGGAAAGGCAGTGATACGGGAAAGCTGGTGAGTGCCCACCGTGTGTTTACTTACCTTTGTCTCCTTCACCCTCAGCAGCCGTGAACCACAGCAAGAAAAAAAGAAAGAAAAAGATTACTGCTGCCAGCAAAATATGTGAGCATAAATAAAACATCACAATTTAGCGCAATTATCTTCACAAACCACTAACAAGCACAGGCTACATGTTTATAAATATTTTGTTTGTTATAATGAAGTTTAAATACGATAAAAAGCTCCAGGTAGCAATTTAGGACTATAATCCATTTCAGCTGGGCAGGAAACCAAAACCAGCCACAGTAAACAGGGCCTCCCTCCTCACCGATGCAATTGTCCTATAACCAGGTCAGTGAGGACATATTCAGGGTATAATATGAAAAATGTCTGTTTAAAATCAATTAAAAAATGCTCTAAATGTCTATTCTCGGTCTTTATTTGGGTGTATTTGCTCTGTTTGCCCTTTTTTAATTATTGTTTTCCTTTTTATTAAGGTTTTAAAGTTTTTATGGGCTGTAATTAGACAAAAAATTTTTTAGATCCCCAGGCAATACAGACAAACAAACGAAAGAAAGAAAGAACAAGAAAAAAAAGATGGATAAGAGTCATTACAAGTACCGTAAGTTAAATATTCAGATAAACAAGGCATCAACAAAGTATAATAATGCAGCCATAATAAACAAACAACCTCATCAGCAGCGGCTGTGGCTCAGGAGGGTAGTCCGGGTCGTCTACCAATCAGAAGGTCGGTAGCTTGATCTTCAGTTTTCTTTAGTCTCCGTGAAGCATCCAGGAGTGTGTGTGAATGATCGGTTTAAAAAGCGTGTGTGTGTGAATGAGGCTGGTAGTAAGGAAGTGCATTGAGTGCTTAGTTAGAATAGAAAAGCTATATATACAAGTACCCGTCCATGTTCTTGATTATGCCAAGCTCAGGTTTTCTGTGCTGGAGAAATTGCATGCAGTATACATTTTAAAATAGATTTTTGACTAGAAGTTTTTAAGTTTGTAGAATATTTAAAGGCACAATGAATTATATTGGGGAAGAAAACTCCCTTCAGTCTTAATTGAGAATTATTGACTCACTGAAGAACATATCGAACGGCAGAAAAAACCCCTAAATCCCTCTGATGTAAATAATAGAATTAGTAGATACATTTATAGGAAAACACCCAGAAAGTAAAATGAAGGATGGGGATATGGATGATGTATTTGAGAAAATGTGAAGTAGAAAATATGTCATGAAAAGGAATCTCTTTTATTTTCTTTCTTGTATTAATTTACTATAAATTTAAAATGAGATGCACAAAAAAAGTAGATATGTACAACATTAATATCTGGTAATAAATTAGAAATAAACTATTTCTAATGCATACAAATATATGCATTTCTTATACCCCACCTATCCTTTTCCCCTTTATAGTATTTCTATAAACATGACTTTTAAAAGTTGTGATTTTTTTTCTCTTTTATGTATAGATTGAGGTTTCACAATGAAAATTTTAAGTTAATACGTAAATAAAAAAATTATACATTTTAAGGATTAAAAGATGTTAGAGGTTAAGAGGATTTGATTTAATGAAGTTTCTGAATAAACTCTGCCCACAATAAAACTCTTTATTTCTGTACCATTACACATTTTGTTAACATTTTTGACAAAAGTTCTCTCATCTCTCTTATGATCTTCCCTCTTGTGTTCCCACTGCCATTGTCCTCTCTTTATTCTGCAGTCCCAGCCGCTCTTTGAGCTCCGTTGTTCCAACAATGTGGTCCATCTGCACACCTGTGCAGATTCCTGTGCTGCCCTCGTCAATCTGCTGCAGTACCTGGTCTCTCAGGGCGACCTGCACCCGCCGCCACGGCACACCTCGCCCACTGAAATCGCTGGACAGAAATTACCAGTAAGGCTGGTGAAATGTGGAGTGTATGATGTTTACTTTAAAGATGTGATAAAATGGTCCAACATACCAATGTTGTTGTGTCGTTATGTTATTAGCTGTCAGAAAGTCCAGCGTCTATGCTGCCCTGTCCTCCCGCTGAAACCGCCGAGATCAACCAGTACGACCTGGCTGACGCCTTAATCGACACGGAGAAGAGCCACAGAGAAGAAAGTTTAGAACCAGGTACTGCAGAGTTGCTCTGTTTATAACCCCTAGGATCATCCTGACAGACTATAGTTAGGTAAAATTATCCTGTTCCCATGTGTGTAGACATGCTTCACTTTACACACAGGAGATAGCGTAAAAACTTAATTCAGTTCCTTTTTGTTTGTTTTTTTTTGTTTTTTTTAAATGATATTGTTTGAGTGTCTGAAAACCCCAAAAATTCTTTAGTGGGAACGGTGGCATTCTTTGTATAACAGGAGGTATTATGGTCTGTAGAGAGTACCAGTTTGCTAAATATTTACATCTGATTCTGTCTGCTTTCATCCAGGTTCACCTTCAATGCCGAGAAGCTCCCCCGTCTCCGTCTACCTGTTCCCCGATGAAGCCTCAAAGCACGGCCCCTCTGTCCTTCAGGGGGAGCTTGACGGGCTGGTTGCCACAGCGACAGAGGCGCAGGCAGATATGATGTCAGAGGAAGGCTCCGAGGGCTCCACCGACAATGACGACTTCTGTATCCTGGAGGCTCCCGGCATGGGCATCCCTGTGAGGGTCCCCTCTTAGCTTTCACTTCCCTGTCACCTCTCATTCATGAACCCATTTCAGACTCTGCGCTCACTCACAAAATGTCTACATGTGTGTTTATTACAGCCCCGGGATGGGGAGCCCACGGTAACAGTGCTGTGCGAGGGGCCCATTAGAGTGAAGGACAGCCATTTTTCCCGGCCACGTGGCAGCTCAGACCTGCTCCGAGCCCCGAGTCGCTTCCCAGTGCCTCAGAGTAGGGTAGTTTTACGGGAGATCTCTGTGGTCTGGCACCTTTACGGGGGAAAGGACTTTGGAGGCAGGCCTATGTCTCTGCATGCTCAGAACGTCAGCAGGTAACAATGCACATGAATTCTTTCATGCACAGACACCGAAACATTAGTATGGTGATTGGTCCAGTCCATACAAGGTTTTTGAAACTTTTGTGTACATAGTTTGTCAGATTTATAGTTTTTGTTTTTGTTCTCCTGTGTGTGTGGGTGCACCTCTCTGCAGAGGTCGTTCAGTGCCCGCTGGCGTCCGTGGGTCACCTTCTCGCTCCGCCCCCTCCTCTCGACCGCAGAACTCTTGGCGCTCGGCTGGAGGCGTCGGCCGTCAGCACAGCCTGCTGATGGAGATACAGCTCACCAAGGTACACTAATGCACTGATATCACTGGTTTGAAAATGTACGTTTTTTTAAATACATATTGGCATACAGACATATATCACTGTACCTCTGTCTCAACACGTGTCTCCTGTTTTGTCCTCCAGGTGTCGTTCCAGCATGAGTCCTACCCGGTGGCAGTAGCGGGGCAGGATGGGGAGGGGTCAGCAGCACCTGTGGTCGGGGTCGGTCCCGGTGGTGAGCAGCCGCTCTCCAGGCAGGTGTTCATCGTCCAGGAGCTGGAAGTTCGAGACCGACTGGCCTCCTCACAAATCAACAAATTCCTCTACCTCTACACTAGTGAGAGCATGCCCCGCCGAGCCCACTCCAACATGGTGAGACAGAGAGACGGAGGGTCTTTGATTAGAAACTGAGTTTTCTGTCGTGCACAGCATCTGACTTGGAGTCAAACCATCCTGATGTTGTAAATCTTTACTTACTTTGTGCACTTTCTATTTAGCTTAGCTTTAATGCAGTTAGGGACACGATGAACAGACTTTGAATGATAGTACTCATGTGGTGTGTCATTTTTGTAGTTGACTGTGAAGGCCCTGCAGGTGTGTCCTGAGTCTGGCCTCGGGGGGCCAGAGTGCTGTCTCCGGGTCAGCCTGCTGCCGCTGAGACTCAACATCGACCAGGTAACTTTTGGGACTGAATACTGAGAGCTGCTCTTGAACTTCGTCCATGAGGTGGTGGCACAAACAAAACAACTCTTACTGCAGAAATTATTTTGAGTACAGGTGTATTAAATCTGTTTGATCATCATAAATGAGCCGTTTCACACTCCACAGATGTTTCTTTGTAGCTCAAAATTCATTCAGTACCATTCATTCTGCTGTTTGTACTTCACGTCTTTTCTTATTTTTTTCTGTTTGTTGTGTAGGACGCACTGTTTTTCCTGAAAGACTTTTTTAGTAATCTAGCTTCCTCTGTTAATCCTTACCTGCCTGTGGATCCTGCAGCTGAAGGTGAGCTTTGCCAGGTCTTCTTTTATCATTCATTTCTTTGATGTCAGATCTGCCGAGCTGATTTTTATGGAGCCTTTTTCTTGTTCATCGTTGTGGCACAATGAATTTTAATTAGCTACAGAGTACATTTAAATGATGACTGAGGTGAATTTTTAGCATGCTAGATTTGTGACCTGTTGTAATTTCTCTGTTTTCAGTGAAGGCAGATTTTTCCCAGAAGGGGTCTGAGGATCTAGAGATGGCTGCTGCTGCAGGTAGTCTTGGACCCGACCTCACAGCTTCTGTGGAAACTACCTACAGTGAGCAGAGTTCCTCTTCTGCCGGCTCCAGCGCCTCCTCTGACCAGCCAATCTACTTCCGGTATGTAGTGACTGAAAAGAGAGTGAGAAATCTAGAGAAACAGAATAAAAAAGAAAGAGCAGATAATACTGTAAAGATGATGTAAGTTACTAGCTAGGAAACTTCTATGTTACAGATTCCAAAAAAGAAAAATCACCTCTAACAAATTAGCTTAAATAGAGTAACTCAAAGACTAAAAGTTTCAATGATTGATAAAGTTTTCTTGTCTCCACCCTTTTCAGGGAGTTTCGTTTCACATCTGAAGTGCCTATTTGGCTCGACTATCATGGCAAGCATGTCGTCATTGAACAAGTGAGTGGTCATTCAGAGATCCTGTACTAATTCAAACAAAAAGCTGAAGGGTTTAAATGATGCGTTTTCACACTTGTTGTTCCTCAGGGGACGTTTGCAGGGATTCTGATCGGTCTGGCCCAATTAAACTGCTCCGAGCTGAAACTGAAGAGGCTCTGCTGCAGACACGGGTAAAAACAAACGAACCAACAAGCAAACATTTCAGTTATTTTTCAGTAATTTGCCCTAAATTTGCTGTTAGTAGTTTGACTTTCTGAGACTTTCTGCATGTTCCAGTCTCCTCGGGGTCGACAAAGTGATTCAGTACGCCGTCACAGAGTGGCTGACGGACATCAGGAAGAATCAGCTGCCCGGCATCCTGGGAGGTGTCGGACCCATGCACTCAGTCGTCCAGCTGTGTAAGTTGCTTTTGTTTTCTGCAAACATTTTTACAGCTGCTTTCCATTATTGCTTGGATTGTGGTTCATACTTCCTCTCTCCTTCATCCTGTCCAGTCCACGGAGTGAGGGATTTGTTCTGGCTGCCTATAGAGCAGTACAGGAAGGATGGACGCATCATTCGAGGTCTCCAGAGGGGGGCAGCGTCTTTTGGTACCTCCACAGCATCTGCTGCTCTGGAGCTTAGCAACAGGCTGGTGCAGGCTATCCAGGTACTCTGAGTGCAGATCATGACTCTTAGTTACAAAGACGTTAAAAGCCTGAAGGTAAAGCACACACATTCCTAATATGCCAATAACTCTTCTGGTGTCTGTGTACATTATCTGTGACAGGCTACAGCAGAGACCGTGTACGACATCTTGTCTCCAACACCTCCTCTGAATCGCTACGCCATCACCGAGGGCCGGGCCATCTCTAGTCGACCTCGAAGAGTCGCCCAGCCTGCAGACCTTAGGGAAGGAGTGGCCAAGGCCTACGACACCGTCAGAGAGGTACGTGCCCAAATAGACGCTCTTAAAATGTAGAAAGAGTTCGTGGGTTAGAGGCCAGGGTTAACCAGGGCTGAGGATGAAAAGAAAATATCTGCAGCTACATCTATGTTGGTAGAAGAGGTTAACTATATGTTAAAAGGCCTTGTAGAAACTTCCACATGCAAGAATGCAAAGGGGGTTGAAACCCTAAATTTTTAGACTAAACTGTCTGCTCTCTTTGCTCTCCAGGGAGTGATTGACACGGCCCAACAGTTGTGCGATGTAGCATCCCGCGGCCACGAACAGAAAGGTCTCCCCGGAGCCGTGGGCGGCGTCCTGCGGCAGATCCCGCCCACTGTAGTCCGACCTTTAATAGTGGCCTCTGAAGCCACCTCCAATCTGCTGGGTGGCATGAGAAACCAGATCAAACCGGACGCCCGGAAAGAAGATTTCCTCAAGTGGCGCACAGAGGACGGCCAAGAATGAGGACAGCTTTTTGTGTCTGTGTGTGAGGGGAAAGTGTGTGTGCGCGTACGTGTATACGAGAGTATGAGATTATGATCTGGGAAAGTCTATTCTGTGGGAATCCATGGGTTGTGTGAGTAGCTGCATGTGTGTTGTGTCTAAAAAGAGTCAGCGTGTGCTCCAATGCAAAAAAGAGAAAAGGAAAGAAGAAGAAATTAAAAAAAATGACTAACTACTGCTGCAGTTCCTGACGCACAGTGTTTAATGTTGCTCCCACATACATAGACGTGCAAGACTTCATTTTTCTGTTCGGCATTCGCTCGTTTTCCCGCTCTCTGTAACACACTAGTGTTTTTCTTCTTAACGTCAGTGCAAACATATCGCCGTCACTTTCTGCCGGCTTCATTTTCAGTGTGACCCGGGCAGAGGGGGCAGGTAAGATTATCACGCTCTGTGTTTCTTCACTCATTTGTGTGCTTTGAACTGTGATGCTTGAAGCTGTTTGTAATTTGAAGCAGCGATTTCAAGCACGAGTTGCACGGAGCACTGAGAAGGGATGTTTATAACTGAGAGCAGCTTCACTTTAATGAGCTTTCTGCAGATGAGTGGGGGGTACCTGTCTTTGGAGGGGGGTTGCCATGTGTTAGTTTTGCTCTCTTTGTGCTCATAATGGAAACTGAAAATATTTTGATCAAGTGTCCTTTGCTTAACACCCTTGCAGATGGTACAAAGCTGTGTGATTGGTTTAGCTGTGACTCCCACTATGCACCCGCTACCCTCAGTGCTGTTATTCGTGCCATAAACCTTACAGTGTCCTTTTTAACTAGTTTGTGTTGCCTTCCTCGGATCTGTACCTCATCCCCTACTCAAAGCTCAGCACATACAGTGGCATACCTGACTGAACAGAAACAACGGGTCACATGAAGTCTCTAAATTTTGTAGCATATTGGATTCTGCTCGAGCTTCACGAAGATGAACGTTTTTCCAAGCTGACGTCACTGCAGCTCTCCTGTTAAATGTCAGATCCTTGGATCTCAATTAGCCCACTATGTCCTCAGAAGTCCTCTGCCCACATCTTTAGTTGCCTTTCTGCATTGATTTTGTAATTGTCTCTTCTTCTTAGTTTTTTTTAAATATTATTATTATTATTTTGTTAAAGCATAAGTATTGTCATATTTGTTTTCAGAGTAAGAGTAAGGAGGTATGTGAATCTGGTGAAAATGGAGGATGGAAAAATTAGGGTTAAAAATGTTTTACATTTTCTTTTTTTGTTTGTTTTTAATCAGTGTGAGGGACGCGTGTCTCTGTGTGTGTGTCTGTCTGTCTGTGAATGTGTGAGGATAAGAAAATGTGTTTGCGCGCATGATGCACGTCTGTGAAGGTGACAGGTTGATGCTTGTTACACCTCTTGCGTGTAATTACTATTTACTATATCATAAACTGTATGAATGATCTGTATAATACAAAGATGAGGATTATACAAAATTAATAGAAAAATTAAAAAAATTTGAGTATAAAAACCGAACAGCTGTCTGCCTTTATTTATTGTATTTTTAATTATTATGATTCTTATTATTGTTATTATTATTTATTTATTGTATCTATTGGTAATTTAAGCAGTGTTGTTGCTGTACAGTTTGTATACTGTGGCATTTCAGGAACTTACTTGTAATTACTTGCATCCAAAATGATGGCCGGTATTGTATCTTCACTTGTTTAAAAAAGTTAAGACTGAAAGTAACTCAATCGTGAGCTGGTGCAGTAATAAAACCTGTAAGTATGTACTGGTGCATCAATAATTATATTGCACATCCTGAGAATTGATAATATTTTTATAAAATATACTGAGAATAGTGTATTTACATATATTTATTCACTTTTTTAACTTTTTAATCTCTTTTATTACTTCTTTCTCTGATAATTGTTGTGCATGTTGCGTGAGGTAACGGCTATTACAAAAAAGAAAATCACACTTAAATTTTTATCCTAAATACATAATAATGGGTGATTCTATATTTGGAGGAAAATTTAGACTTCAAAAATTACAAAAGAACAAAAGACAGAGAAACTTTGTAATTTTCTACTATGTGTTTAAGAAAAACAAACACACAAACGGTTTGAAACTTTGTGGAAGTGGAAGTAGACCAAAGGTCACCATGTGTAGACCTTCTACCCATGGTGTTCATGTCCCTTCCTCTTGGTCATCTCTCTGCTTTGTCTCCTCC